GTTAGTCCATTTTTGAACTGTCAATCCTGGTTGATTTATTCAGGGATCCAAGTAACAGATTCTGTAGACCTGTTGGCTAGTTGCTTGGTCACTGTATCCCAGGACAAATTAAAAGCTATAACTATTCACCCCCCTAAAGTCAATACTTTGTAGAGCCACCTCTTGCGGCAATCACAGTTCCAAGTCACTTTGGATAAGTCTCTATGAGCTTGCCACATCTTACCATTGGGATTTTTGCCCATTCCTCCTTGCAAAACTGCTCCAGCTCCTTCAAGTTAGATGGTTTGCGCTTGTGAACAGCAATCTTTAAGTCTGACCACAGATTTTCTATTGGATTGAGGTCTGGGCTTTGACTAGGCCATTCCAACACATTTACATGTTTCCCCTTAAACCACTCAAGTGTTGCTTTAGCAGTGTGTTTGGGGTCATTGTCCCTCTGGAAGGTGAACCTCCATCCTAGTCTCAAATCATGTACAGAGTAGTACAGGTTTTGCTCAAGAATATCCCTGTATTTAGCACAATCCATCTTTCCCTCATCTCTGACCAGTTTCCCAGTCCCGGCTGCTGAAAAACATCCCCACAGCATGATGCAGCCACCACCATGTTTCACTGTGGGGATGGTGTTCTTTGAGTGATGTGATGTGTTGGGTTTGCGCCAGACATAGCGTTTTCTTTGACGGCCGAAAAGTTAAATTTTAGTCTCATCAGACCAGATCACCTTCCTCCATACATTTTGGGAGTCTCCCACATGCCTTTTTTCGCAAACTCAAAACGTGCCATTTTTTTTTTTTCTGAAAGTAATGGCTTTCTTCTGGCCACTCTGCCATAAAGCCCAACTCTCTGGAGAGTACGGCTTATTGTCATCCTATGTACAGATACTCCAGTCTCTGCTGTGGAACTCTGCAGTTCCTCCAGGGTTACCTTACATCTCTGTGCTTCCTCCCTGATTAATACCCTCCTTGCCCGCTCCGTGAGTTTTGGTGGGCGGCCATCTCTTGGCAGGTTTGCTGTTGTACCATGTTCCTTCCATTTGGTTATGATAGATTTGATGGTGCTCCTGGGAATCATCAAAGATTTGGATATTTTTTTATAACCTAACCCTGACTTGTACTCATAGGCGTGCGCACGGGGTGTGCCGGGTGTGCCAGGGCACACCCTAATCCCCGTGGCACGCCTATGGTTTGAGTCCTGCAGGAACAGCGTTCCTGCACTTTTTTTGAGCAGGAACGCTGTTCCTGCAGGCACTCAGTGCCCCCTGTTTCACCTCTTGCCCCTGTCATGGGAGGGCAAGAGGTGATGGATTCCCACGCCCCACTCAGCGCGCGGCGTGGGAGCTCTCTGCTGTCGGCTCTCTGCTCCCTCTCGCCGCGCGCTGATGCCGGGAGCCGGAATATGACGTCATATTCCGGCTCCCAGCTCCAGCAGACAGCCCGCGCGGCGAGAGGGAGCAGACAGCAGACAGCAGAGAGCTCCCTCGCCGCGCGCTGACCTGCAGAGAGGCGCCCGCCCCCACTGGACCCCAGGAAAAGTCCACCAGCACTCCAGGTAGGAGGCTGGGTGGACATTGTTTTTTAAAATTAAAATATAATAATTTGTGTGTGTGTGTGAGTATGTGTGTGTGTGTGTGTGAGTATGTGTGTGTGTGTCTGTGAGTGTGTGTGTGTGTTTCTGTGAGTATGTGTGTGTGTCTGTGAGTATGTATGTGTGTGTTTCAGTGTGTGTGTGAGTGTGTGTCTGTGAGTATGTATGTGTGTGTGTCTGTGAGTGTATGTGTGTGTCTGTGAGTATGTATGTGTGTGTGTGTCTGTCAGTGTGTGTGTGAGTGTGTGTCTGTGAGTATGTATGTGTGTGTGTCTGTGAGTGTATGTGTGTGTCTGTGAGTATGTATGTGTGTGTGTGTCTGTCAGTGTGTGTGTGTCTGTGAGTATGTGTGTGTGTGTGTGTGTGTGTGTGTGTGTGTGTGTGTGTGTGTGTGTGTGTGTGTGTGTGTGTGTGTGTGTGTTTCTGTGAGTATGTGTGTGTGTTTCTGTGAGTGTGTGTCTGTGAGTATGTATGTGTGTGTGTCAGTGTGTGTGTGAGTGTGTGTCTGTGAGTGTATGTGTGTCTGTGAGTATGTATGTGTGTGTGTCTGTCAGTGTGTGTGTGTGTACATATATATATACATATATATATATATATATATATATATATACACACGCAGAGCCGGCGCTATCTGAGTGCCGGCTCTGCTCTAAGCCTTCATGGGCCGGCGGGGAGACCAAAGATCTACCTCACCGGCCCACAGCAGCATGGAGGGAGGCAGTAGAGGACCCAGGGAGCTCTAGACAGAAGCTCCGCCAGGTTCCTCTCGCGATATCTGAGCGTTGCTGTGGCAACGCTCAGATCTCGCGAGAGTTAACTCTAGCCCCGCAGGCTTGAGTTCACTCTCCACTGGACCACCAGGGATGGCACATGGCAGCAAGGATTTACTAATCTGCCAAATCCCTCCAAACATACAGCACACACACATACAGCACCTACACACATACAGCTCACACACACACAGTACACTAACCGCACCCTCACAAACACACACAGCACCTTTAAAAAAAACACAACACCCTCACACACAGCACACTAACAGCACC